GAGCATAGGCCTGGCACTGAAACGGCCTGATTCCTTGCCCCTTATTGTTTTGCACCCTATGCCCTGAAGTAGCCTGGCTCCCTTCCCCGCCTAGCGCTTACCAGTACAAAATGGTACAAGCACACTCCTTTGGGAGGTAATCTAAATGGGTTACGACAACAACTTGCACACCTGAACCCCCAATTTCAAGCCCGCTCTTCCGATGCTCAGGCAATCATCATTAGCATAGGTGTCTTGGGATATGGAAGTGGTGGGCTGCGGCAGGGAAGTTAGCACGAAGACAGGACATCAAGTTAACGAAACTGAGATCCTAAATTCAACTGTGCCCTTTCTTTGATGACTATGTTTATGACGATGGTGATGGGGATGCGGAGGATCAACGCGGATGAACATGATCATGGTCGTGTTCATCATGAGCATGGTCATGTTGATGCACTGCAGAAATGGTAGGCGTTGCGTAGCCTGTATCTACTAGAGTTCCGGGCTTGGGGTGGGAAGAAAAGGTAGTCCACGAGAGCATGCAAGGCCCTTTCAAGGCTTAGTGGTTCAGGCTCAGATGCAGAGAGGCAGAGGCGGCTTTAGCGGCCCAGCTAACGGTTTCCAAGGCTTTAGTTTTTCGGATGATAAAGGTCAGGGGTGGAGGCAGGGCAGGGCATTGGGCAGGGCGGGGGATTGCGGGGCATTGGGCAGGGTCGGGCATTGGACAGGGCAGGGCATTGGAACGGCCAGAAAGCAGTCGAAGCATGATATATAGGCGGACCGTCAAGCCTTTGCCAGGTTGAGGCGGCACTGCATGCGACAATGCATGGTCAAACAGCTGAGAATGTCTCAATGCGAAAAGCATCTTTGAAGACATGTAGTATCCCCCCACTTATTTACCGTTTGAGTGGGCTTGACAGCCCACCTTCGCTAAAACCACATTGGTGGACAAGCTGATCTCCGTCCTGGCTACTGGGCCCAAATCCGTGCCTGTAGTGAGTCCAGGCGCCCGAGGCCGGAGGAGTCCCCGGAGACCCGCCGCACAAGTCCTTACAAAAAGTTGCAGAAAGGAACTTCAAAATCCCAACATTTATCTTCCACTGCTCAGTCACGTTTTTGACCTCTTGGTGGTTAGGCCCCCCCGGTAAACGACTGCAACCTCAGGCAGCCGGTGGAGTCCGCGTGCCTGCTAGAGGTGTGGCGGCGCTGCCGCCGCATGACCGTGTCGTGCTGCGGAGCACCTCGATGCGATGCAGCGGTGCCCTCCGACACCATCACCATCACCGTCATCATCATCATCATCATCATCGTCATGATGATGTTCCTCTTCATAGGTATCACCACCATTATCATTATTAACATCCTCATCCACTACATCAGCAACAGTTCATATCAACACCCATCAGCACGACGGCCAGCGATGACCAGCCCCACCACAAATAATGCCTGATCAGACGCCACCAACACCAGAAAGCAAAAGACTTGCATGACCATCACCAATAAGACAACTATTGCTGCACCGCCTAATCGACTTTCGTCCAGAGTCTATCCCAATATCGTCGTAGATGTGATCATTTCTATCACCCTGGCAACAACAGCAGCAGCGGCAGCAGTGGTGCAGCAGCAGCGGGCCGGAGCAGCAACAACAACCACAAGAATCAAGTAGAATGTACCAATAACAAAAACAACACCAAGCACACCACCAGCAGCACCACCACCACCAGCAGCAGCAGCAGCAGCAGCAGCAGCAGCAGCAGCCGCGGCGGCAGCAGCAGCAGCAGCAGCAGCAGCAGCAGCAGCAGCAGCGGCAGCACCAGCATCGCCAGCAGCAGTACAAGCACCAGCACCAGCACCAGTGCCAGCGCCACGAACAGCAACCGCCACACCCACAACCTCAACCACAACAACAACAACGACAACGACTCGGACAACCACGACAACAACAACAACAACAACCACAACCAACACAGACACCGACACCGGCACCGGCACCGACACCGGCATCAACAACTTAGGGGCTGCTTCTAACAGTAACTGGCATGCTCTCTTTACAAGAGAAAATCTTTGTATAATGGTATTTGAAATGCGGGCTGAACACTTATGTCGGGGCCGAAAAGTGCTCACTGAACATTATAAAATTTTGGAGCCGATAAGCGTTCACTGACCACTTTCTTTGGGCCGACTGAACACACAGTTTGGGGCCGATAAGTGTTCACTGAACACTTATTTTGAGGCCGACGGAACACTTATTTCGGGGCCGATAGGTGTTCACTGAACACTTATTCAATTCTGGGGCGGATGAGTGTTCACTGAACACCAGTTTTTTGGGCCGGCTGAACACATAGTTTGGGGCCGATAACTGTTCACTGAACACTTATTTTGGGGCGTGTTCACTAAACACTTATTTTGGGGGGCCGACTGAGCACTTATTTTGGGACCGACAAGTGTTCACTGAACACTTATGTGGGGTCCGACTGAACACTTATTTTGGGGCCGACAAATGTTCACAAAACATTTATTTGGGGGCCGACGAGCACGTATCGGCCCCAAAACAAGTGTTCAGTCGGCCCCGAAATTGGTGTTCAGTGAACACTTGTCGGCCCCAAAATAAGTGTTCAGTCAGTCGCCAAACACATGTTCAGTGAACACCTATCGGCCGCAAAATAAGTGTTCCGCCGGCCCCAAAATAAGGGTTCAGTGAACACTTATCGGCTCCAAAATAAATGTTCAGTTGGCCCCCAAATAAATGATCAGTGAACACATATCGGCCCACTTTTCGGCCCCAAAACAAGTGCTCAGAGAACTGTTATCGCCCCAAAATAAGTGTCCAGTCCTCGCAATAATAAGTGTTCAGCCGCTTCCGAACTAAGTGCCTAGTGCTCCCAAGGGCGTCGAACACAGATGAATGCGGTGAAAACACTGGCAGGCGCAGTGAATTCAACGAGATGTTGCATCAAAAGTGGCCACATTGGCATGCATGGAAACGGGTGGCAGGCGTGCATATTCTAGACTGTGTTTAAGTGTTAACACTGGTTGAAGACACAACTTCCATATACAAAAGCAGGAATTCACCGGCCTGCGTGGGATTTCGTGGCATTCGTAAAATTGTGGATTCTCAGCAGAGTGTGTCTGGAAGACGAAAGCGCGGTGCGAAAATGTGTAAAACTAAGTTAGGAGGACGCTGTGGACGCTTGTTTGTTCCACACGTAAATGCGGCATGATGGGGTCGAAACTGAACGAAGCCGTGTTCCGAAAACATAAAATCGCCGAGACCCATCCAGATGCTGCCATGTTTCCTTAGCTGGACATTGACAGCGAGCAATGATTCACACTGATTTGTACCAGCGCGATGTATCAGCATTTTGCCCGATGAATTCCCGAAATCATCCTGACGGGCGCTGCTGCACCTTCAAGCTCCTTCAAGTACACAGTGTTGTCCTAGCGAGCCACAAGGTTTCAGCACCTTGCGAGCCGCAGGGCGTTTCAGCACCTTGCGGGCACGGCCCAAGACATTGGCGCATCTGCGGATCCTGATTGGAACCGACTGCAATTTGTCGTTGTAGAAACGACACATTTCTTCGACCCAGAACCTATGCAACAATGGCCGAAGATTATTTACAAAGAAACTGAGCCCCGTACCCAGGCGTTAAAGCTTTCAGAAACGTTGGTCCGGACATTCTTGCACCGTTTTTTCTCGGCGGCGGTCCACGCCTGATCTTGCAGGTGTGTTCGGGCAGTGAAAGGCGTCTACCACGAAATGCCGCATGTCTGAGACGAGCTTCGCACGTTTCTTGGCAAAGCTCTCAAAATGGAACATGTCATCATGAATTAGCAAAGTGGCCGTGACATTCTGCATATTCATCACCGGCTTTAGCAGAGTGATCTTGTCCGAGTTACACTCGTTCTGCAAATGCTCCACAGCCTCAAGCACTCGCCTCGAGTCTGGGTCCACAGCGAACTGCCAACCAGCGGCCCGCTGAGGCAGGGCTGTGCGATGTCCTTAAGCTTGTAGGCGCAGCTGCGTTCATCATCCCTCAGGAGCTTGAGTTTTCTGGGATGACCTTTGAGCCTCACTGTTCTGGGAGGATCGCACTTGGAAGGAGCTCCCGCAACCGTCGGGAAGACGCAAGCCGACGGTCTGTCTTATGATACAACTGCATCATGGCACTCCTTGTCCCGGGGAGAGTTTGCCTCGTAGAACACGAAGCTAACTCATCTGCAAGTACGGAATAGTGAAAGCAGTCTTCGAAGTGATGAAGAGGACGCCGGGAAAGGCAATTCAGGAGCTCCTTGCCGACGGTGAACATGTTGTAACGTGCAGTATTTCTGCATCGGTTACAGACCTGGGACGAGGTCTGTACATTGGCAATGGTTTCTCCCCAATGAGAACAGCCTTCACGTTCTTGTCCGTTGTGGCATAGAGTTGCTTTCCACACAAGGAGCAGTCTTTGCCAGGGAAGGCGTAGGTCTTGAGGGTTTTCTGATCCTTGACAGAAGCTTTCCCGTGAGAACTGCGAGCGAAGGCTGATGGACGCTTCCGGCTTGTTGCGGCAGACGGACGTTTCATGGCGACACGGGAATCTACGGCATAAGAAAAGACCAACTGCTGGGAAATGAACTCAGAGGCGTACGCAGATGGAAAAGAATGCTGACACTACCCTGACAGCAACATCTGCTTATCATCTGACCGTCATTTGACAACGGTGTCAAAGTGCAAGATGTTTGCATGCACGCCTTTCATACAGTCGCCGCAAATAGGTCTGACCTGGCTCAGATGTGCATGTCACGGGCTGCTGTCTCATCGGGGTCATCATCACAAACCGGCACTGGAGGGCTCATCGACGACCCGACAGGCAGAGCTTCTGGGAACGGAACTGGGGCTGCAGTTTCCTCATCGGTGGATGGCGAAGCAGGAAGATGCACTGCAGTGGATGTGCGAGTCAAGGAGCCGAGCTTGTCTGCACTCTGTTGGTTGATGTTGGACAGGTAAGTCTCTCGACGACCGGCCGTCTGCATGGAGTTTATGCATGCAAGAGTTCCAGCTCCTCGGCAACATCTGCCTCGAAGGTAGGAGGCAGCTCATGGATGCCATTTTTGTACTTGGCGTAAAAGTCTTTGTCTCTTGGAGTGAATAGATCTTCGTGGAGGTCATCTATTCGAATGCAACGGATAAGGGCGTTGCGATCCTGGGAAGGCAGACGAAGACAGGATGCACGTTGCCAAAGATGAACATGATGCAACGCTTCAACACAGCCATCATGTCGGTCTCTTTGTAGCCAAGAAAGAATCTCCCGACGAGCTTGAAAAACTCCTCCGGGTCGATGGAGACACTGTGCTTGTCCGGTGCAGGTTCGTCTTCAGGCACAAAGTCGTCTGCAGCCAAGGCCCGAAGGCCGTTTGCGACAAGCTTCAGGTCCGTGTACCGACCAGAACAATTCTGGTCTTCTTCAGAAGTTAGCCATGATTTGATATCCGCGGGTTGCATTTTGTCCATGGTCGGATCGTCCAGGGCTTCGTGGATCTGCGCATTCCGGCGCCGGAAGTTATCCATGGCCTTGGCTCTCCTCCACCCAGCAAACACTCCCTCCAGCTCAAGGCCGTTGATGTGATACCTGCCGATGGCCAGAGCCAGAATGATGAGCAGCGGACTCTTGCCAACTCCGGGCCATCCGATGATCACAAATCCGAAACTTGTGAGCAGGGGTGCAATCAAGGGAAAGAGACACTCCCCCAGAAACGGCTTCATGCTCCTGGTGCTCATTGGGGAAGAAGCGGCACGAAGATGCCCCTACAAAGGCACGGCTTCTATTGTGCCATCCGGATGATCTTACCCTCTGGCCAACCCGCAATTGGCGAGCCACTGTCCGGCTTGATGTTCGTCAAGATCCAGAGGTATTGCTGGTTCTCCGAAATCATCTTCTGGGGCATTTTTGTTCACGAACTCAACACCTCTGACAAGCCCGTCATCGGCGACCATGCTGTGGACTGGGCACGCTTGAGTTGTTTTTGACAAAGAGTCCATCAAACGACATGATGTCCTGGAAGGCGCCCGAGGAGAGATTGGACCTGCCTTCTTCCAGCTCCACGGTCCCTCGTATGTGGGGAACAGTGGGAGCCCGGTGCAGTAGCCCTGAGCTTCTTCCGCGGGTACCTGTCCTGCCGATTGTGAATGATGTAAAATACCGTAGATCCAAAAGGGCAAAGACGTTGACGGCTGTAGTCTGGATGGTAGAACCGCGTAGTCCTGATTTGTCAGATGCTCGCATGCTGAAAGCAAGTTCCCGAACTCAGTGATCTGGTAGTGTGCGTCCATCACAAGCATGCAGGTCTTTGGAAGGTCAAGTCGACAAGCGTGCTTCCGAAGATCTGACATCCGAATACACTCTGAAATGTCTGCCTGTCTATTGTTCACCTACACCGGGATCGAATGCTCCTGCATGGTTCACTCGTTTGCGGCGTACTTGGTCAAGCCATCACCTAAAATCCTGTTATGCGGCGACGTCATGTTGCAGCAAAGAAATCACGAGGGGCTAACAACACTATCTTTCTGGGCTTGAGGGCGCTCTGCGAAGCACACATGTAGCAAAGGATTGCAATGATTTGCAACATGTTGTGTGCAGCCAGGCATTGTGCTGGAAAGTGCACTTGTTTTGTGAACGCACTGTGTGACTGCCTTAGTTGTTGAGTCCTGCACAGGAAAGTGCACTTGTTTTGTGAACGGACTGTGTGACAAGCCTTAGTAGTTGAGTCCCAAGGCGTCATTCGCGAGGTACTGTAGAGGTCATTCGTGACTTCCTCCAAGTCCGCTGTGAGCACCGCGATGCGGCGATGCGAGTCCTTTTTCTGTGTGGAAGAAGACGACGATGATGACGATGTAGAACCATCGCTACTGTCCTGGTTCATCGTATTGCCGGTGCCTCTCGTTCTCGTTGCTGATGTTCGCGGGGCCGTCGGGGAAATCCTTATCCACGACCATATCCGTGACAAGGCGTCCTCGGCGCTGGCCTTTTTCACAATGTCCACAACGTCGGCGGTGTTGGCGGCAGTGTCCGCGAAGTTCTCGGGGATGGCCTCCTGCACGATGTTGTCGTCGGGGTTGGTGTCCTTGGCGATGTCCGCAAAGTTCTCGGGGATGGCCTCATGCACGATGTTGCCGATGTCCGCGGAGTTCTCGGAAATGGCCTCAGGCACGGTGCTGTCGTCATTCGTAGCCATCAGGCACAAAGGAGCTCCACCACCATTTGCGATCATCTGACACTTACGGGGACGCTTCTGTTTTGGTTTGTTCAGCAACCCAAAAGGCCAAGTTGCTTCGCGGATAGGCCCAGTTGCTTCGCGGCCATGTGGATTTTTTTACACCACATATATGCAGATATACATGTATGTGTACAAATAGTTGAGATTATGAGCCCAAAGACTATTCCTAATTAAGGACGCCGAGACACGATATTAACATTTTTCTGTTTAGATTGTTTTTAATATTGGCCCGGCCTGGATCCAAGATTGCATAGGAAAGATTCTTGGATCCGGCCCAGGGCCCGCATGCCAATGTTAAATATTAGTTTGTTGAATCTTTTAACATTGGGCCGGCCGGATCCAAGATGGATCCAAACGACTTTCCTGTGCAATTTTGGATCTTGGATCCGGCGGGGGCCCAATATTGAAATATTAGTTCTTTCTTAATATCTTAATCTTGGCCCGCCTTGGGGTTCACTGGAACACGACAAGCGAGCATCAAACAAACATTTAGTGTGTTACAAACACAAGTAGTGAACACGGAACAAACAACTGCTGTATCACAAACACTGACAAGCACAGCTATCGATGGCTAAACCAATAAGGAGTACATAACAAGCAAGCGTCCACGGCGTCCCGGTTTGAACACAAAACTTGGCGAAAATTTGCTTTTAATCTTTAAGAGGGTGACGTAGGTAAAATTTTAGGTTGAGGTCTTTCGGGCTTGGGTCGTGCAACAGCTTGAGGTTGAGGGCTTGAGCGTCAGACCTTGGGATTTAGGGCTTAAGGGTACACGAGTTGGGGATGTTCTCTTGGTTGGCACATGGATGCTTTGTGGAAACGGACGGAGTCTTTGTGGACGTTACCATGGTTGGCACATGGATGCTTTGTGGAACGCACGGAGTGGTTGTGGATGTTGACATGTTTGGCACATGCACACCTTGTGGCAACGGGCGGAGTCTTTTTGGACGTTAACATGGTTGGCACATGGATGCTTTGTGGAAACGGACGGCGTCTTTGTGGACGTTAATATGGTTGGCAAAGGGATGCTTGTGGAAACGGGCACATGGACGCTTTGTGGAAACAGACGGAGTTCTTGTGAACGTTAACATGGTTGGCACACGGATTTTTTGTGGGAGCGCACGGAGTCTTTGTGGACGTTAACATGGTTGGCACATGGATGCTCTGGCAATCGGATGGAGTCGGCGTGCGGCGAACGTCCGGTTCGAGGGCTACAGGGTTTTGGGTTCAGGGTTTAGGGGTTTCAGATTTGGATACAGTTGTGCTGAATACAAGTCTATACGGAGCGCAATACCCTGTGTCTTTGTTCCGCACATAAGCCCCCCCCACCCGCCCACCCCACACTGTCAAAGTAACATGCCGACACGGGACATGAAAAAAGGGCAGCGGAGCTCAAATGACCTGGTGGACAAACTGCCTTTTGAAAACCAGCCAAAGCACTACAAAAACCGTGCTTTTTTTCGCACCTTGATGCACAAAACAAAAACATAAGTAAACGCAACGCGCAGGAGCAGTCACGAGGTGTAGAAAACACTGTGAAAACCAAAGGATAGGACCTGCCCGAAAAAATTGCCTTCCGCAAACAAGCAAAATTACAGTAAATACCATGCTTTTCGCCTCCTTATGTGCAAAAACCCATGTAAACGGACACATTCCAGCAAAAGTCCACAAGGAAGGCCAACACGCAGGAGCAGTCCGCAGGTGTAGAAAACACTGTAAATACCCTAGGATTCGACACTTCCGCACGCAATTACCCCCCCCCCACCCCCACCGCCGTGGAGTAGCAGACCCTCCACGGCGGCAAGAAGCGCACATGCCCAAAAAAGTGTTCAATCCCTCAGAAATAAGATTCTAGTCCTCCCAAAAATAAGTGTTCAATCCTACCCCAGAACCCTATACAGAGTTCTTGTTAGAGGAAATGCAACAACAACAACAACAACCACAACCAACAACCAACAACCAACAACCAACAACCACAACCACAACCACAACAACAACAGCAGCAGCAGCAGCAGCAGCAACACCAACAACAGCAGCAACCACAACTACGACGACGACCACCACCACCACCCCACCACAACAACAACAACGGCAGCGGCACCAC